TGTTTTAACAATAACCAAAAATTTGTTTGTGTATGTATTCATTTGTCGCTGCTGTCAATTAAAATTTCCTCACTTAATTAGGAAACAAAACAAACAGAGTTGATCAAAAATTGATCCAGATTTCTATCAGCATCACATCGATGTTGACTTTGCGTAACTTTTCTTTATCCAAATACTATAAAATAATAAATGAAATCTCGATCGGCGATCACTGAAACGCAGCTAGCCACTGTATACGCGAAAAAGCAATGTTGCCACTTTTTCTCATTAAACCATGTTCGAATCGTGGAAATTTTGGAATATCACATGGTTGTTTTTAGCATTTAGACTCTTAATGCAAAAATGGAGTTGCATTTAGGTGACGAATTTTGTATGGATAAATGTACATTTAGAGTAGCATTTAAGCTTAGTATCCAGCTCTTAAGAAAACGGTCAAGAAAAAATTGCCATTATTTCGCATGTGTGTCCAGGAATTTTGACATTTTTTATACCTCACAGCCTGTTGCCTCACTCTTTCCTCAAGAAATAATGGAACGGGCATATATTTCTGTTGCAAACCTGGGTTGCCTTGTGCTTTTTTTTCACAAAAAACTTTAGAAAACCGTAGTAGAAAGCGTACTAAATTTCTGAAGAACTGCGTACTGCCTTAAGGAAATTTGACTCAAGAAAATTTCTTAGCCATTTCTTGTAGTGAGCTCATGAAGGCTATTAGCAACGCTTGCGAAATTCGGAACAAATCGGCGGTAGTAGGTGCATAGCCCAAGGAAACTTAGTAGTTCGTGCAGGTTCCTAGGTCTTGGCCAATCCTTTACTGCTTCTATATTTTCCTTCGCAGTACAGACGCCCTCCGTTGTCACCTTGTGTCGAAAGTAGTTCACCTCCTTCTTGAACAGTGAGCACTTTTCAGGACTTAGCTTCAGACCAGCGCCAGCTATCCTCTGGAAAACTTCTTCCAAATTGTTCAGGTGTTCCTCAAAACTTTTACCCAATACGATAATGTCGTCTAGATACACCAAACATGTTTTCCAATGCAGTCCCTTAAGCACATGATCCATAAGTCTTTCAAAAGTGGCAGGAGCGTTGCATAATCCAAAGGGCATCACCGTGAATTGCCAAAGACCATCTCCAACGCTGAAAGCTGTCTTCTCCTTGTCCTCGTCACTTACCTCCACTTGCCAATAACCGCTCTTAAGATCGAGTGTTGAGAACCAACTTGTTCCAGTCAACGAGTCCAGAGTGCCATCGATCCTGGGAAGAGGATAGCTGTCCTTTTTCGTCACATCGTTTAGTTTCCGGTAGTCTATGCAGAACCGCACTGGTACACAGATGGCTCGAATTCGCCAGAAGAAATAGGGGCTGGAATCGTCGGATCTCTGGGAAAATAACCGAGCAGAAGTTTACGCCATCATCTATGTATGTGCAGTTGGCCCCGAACTAATCCTAGGAGAGGGTCCAAGCACTTTAAAGGAATAGCTGAGGAGGGAGAGGAACACTATGAAAGATGTAAACTGGCATAGTTCGCCAGGAACGCATCAGGCAAAGAATTTACTGGGAGGGTATAGCAAAAGGAGATTCCAAAGTTTATTTAACCTTATTTTTTGGCTCATCAATGACCATGACCTTTGCCGATTCTGCGACTCTAAGAGCGAGACATCTTCACCGAGTGTGATGCAGTCTGCAGAAGTCGTGAGCAGCGTTGCCAAAGGCTTTCGTCAATTAACCCAAAAAAAACCGTTATTTCGGCCAAAAAAACGTCAAATTTGTATTTATTGTACTTTTTTTAACAATAAAAAATAAAAACAAAATTACAATAAATATGACCACGCATTACAAATCCAATGTGGGTTCCCATTGCATGTGGGTTAATACAAGTAATTTTTGAGCAAGAACAAAACCGACTTCCATCCTCGTGTTAAAATTTGAGATTCCCGTAATTTCTTCATTATCAAATGACCGCATCTAAACTGAATTAGTACCGGTCCACCTCTCAGGTACCACCTTTAAAACAAGATTTATAGAAATCGCTTAACGTGGTTCAAGGTTATGCGATAACATACATATGGGTCATTCCATACAATATTTTTTTGGGGTGAAATATATTTTTTTACATTCTTTATCGAAAAAAAGAAGACACCTATTATTTTATTTCGTCATGATATCTATTCGAAAATCTCGAAAAAAAAAATTCCCGAAAGTTTGAACTCACGGAGAAGTATGTTTTTTCAATTGTTTGCTGTTAATAAACTATTTGTCGGAGAAAATCAGGTATCAAAATTTGCGTAATTACCTCGGCTTTCCATGAGAGTGTGAGATAGATTAAAAAAAAATTCATTAAAAACGAGCATTTTTTTTACTTCATCATGTTTGATTTTTATTTTTTTCGACCTGAATAGTTGTCAAACTTTTGGAGTACGCTGTAAACATTTGAGAATGGAAACACCAAAACTGTAGAAGTTACGAGTTTTTTCATACCTGCGTACATAAACTTTAGTATAAACTTTGTATACGCAGGTATGTAAAAACTCGTAACTTCTACAGTTTTGGTGTTTCCATTCTCAAATTTTTACAGCATACGCCATAAAGTCTGACAACTATTCACGTTGAAAAAAATAAAAATCAAACATGATGAAGTTAAAACAAAATCAAAATAAAAAATGCGAGTTAGTATAAACTTTATGTGCGCAGGTATAAAAAAACCCGTAACTTCTACAGTTTGGGTGTTTCCATTCTCAAATTTTTACAGCTTACAACTCGGTTAAAAAGTTAATTTGTAATTGATAACAACAATTTAAAATTATAATTTAAAACACAACTGCTTTTAAATTGTTTAATTCAACTTGTTTGAGGTTTCTTAAAAGATTTTGATCTAGTTTCAAAGTGTAACGGGAGCATTTGTTAACTGATAGATTCTGCTTTATCCTGAGTTTCACTTAAAAAATATTTACCCAAAAATTTGTCATCCACCCATAGAAAAACCATGGAAACCAAAAGTGAAAAGTGAACCGGTTCGGGGAAAATTAAACTCATGATAAGGTTGATCATCTTAATTGAAAAAATTCTCTCTTCTATTTTTTCTTTCTTTCTTTACTCTTTCAAATGAGTATCAGCAGTGAAAATTTACGATTTGGTTACAATTCTAGAATAAACTAAATATAACTAAAAGCACGGCTGTAGAACAAGACTAGATAAATGCATGGTTGTAGTNCCAAAAGTGAAAAGTGAACCGGTTCGGGGAAAATTAAACTCATGATAAGGTTGATCATCTTAATTGAAAAAATTCTCTCTTCTATTTTTTCTTTCTTTCTTTACTCTTTCAAATGAGTATCAGCAGTGAAAATTTACGATTTGGTTACAATTCTAGAATAAACTAAATATAACTAAAAGCACGGCTGTAGAACAAGACTAGATAAATGCATGGTTGTAGTTATTTTGGTCTACGTTTTCCTTTAACAATTTTTGTTCATACATACATATGTACTAAAATAAAAAAAATCGTCATTTCGCGGGGACAAATCGTCAAAACGTCAAAATGACGACGAAATCGTCAATTCGGCAACGCTGGACGTGAGAGAAGTTTAGGCTCAGTGTGGCCACAACTTAAGCACATTCACTCCCTATCTCCGAAAGCACTATTGAACTTTCTTAGGGATGTACACTGAGAAAAAAATATGCAAAATATGTTTGTCTTAATCAGTGTACGAAAATAAACTATGTTGTACGTTACTATTTCGTTTCGTTTATTACTTCAACAGTTCGGTACAATACGAAAACAAAACGGCTGAGTTCACTTTGGCGATAGTACACTACAGTAGTTTAGTAGTTACAGACGAAACAACAAACGAAATGAATCGTGCAGAGAAAAATATATGTACATATATGCAATAAATACAAAACGAATGGCTGCAATGAATAAAAAAAATAAAAATGTTTTTTAATTGAATTGGATATGGAAATTTACAAAAAAAAAATTAACGTAATTGCCCTGCACNTTTTCAGAGTATTCTGCATTGTAAAGAAATTTTAAAGAATTCGTTAAGATTTAATTCGATTTTTTGCCGAATTTTCTAAAATGAAATAAATTACGCACACTTCCATTCTTTTACGAAATTTCGGAAGAAAATCTGTGAAGCAACGAAAGTAATGGTGCTATGTGAAGAATATCTTTCAGATTTTTTCCAGTATTTTCTTTATTTTTCGTACAGAAATTTCCTTACGAGTTCGTGCCAACCACTTCATATAATTTTCTTTGAAAATTCGTAAAAAAAAACGTTACAGAAATGAGACACTCCTAACGATTTCGTTAAGATTTCGGGAACTTTGGTTTGCAGGGTGAAACGTTCGCATACGTATAAAACAACAATTGTCACAAACGAAAAGCAAACGTTTCTCGTTGGGGAAAATGACAGTGAATCTTACAAATTGTTTCTGACTATGTACAAAACTGTACAAAGCCACAAATGATATGATGATCGATGAGCAAATGGGAATTGTTTTGTACAGTTTATTTTCGTACCCTGGTCTCAACACATGATTTGGTAACTAAAACCAAATAATGTAACTATAACAAAATCATGTGTTGAGGAAAACATATTTAGTTGACGTAACTAAACTCTTTTCTCAGTGTAGGTTTAGAAGAAGTATTGTAAAGAGCAGAGGTTACAATAGACCACCAGGTCGCGGTGAACACCTCAATTTAATATCTACCTAGTACTTTCGTAGATTTCACGAAAATCGAACCTACGTTGGATTCAGTGATAGCCCTGATTTGCTTTACTGCAAAAATAGAAATTGACTCTCAATGGCTGCTGCGGGCGAAGCTACAAGAAATATCTAGATTTATAAAACCTTTCCAATTAGAGCCTTTAAACATTTTAAGTTTAAACTATTTTATTGGCTATATTCAAAGGAAACTGAAACGTTACAATTTGAATACAATAATATTTAATACCAGTAATTAAGGCAATTTCATTTACACAGGGGATCAAAATGTAATCTCAAACGAATCGATTAGATCTTTATTGTTATTATTTTTAAATTCACTGTATAATTTTTATTAATTACTTTGGTGGACGAAACAATTGTCAAATGTGCCACTATTTACATACATTGCCTTATATCATGCAATGAGATATTGGTTTGAGTTTGCGGTTTCCTGGCAGCATATTTGTATATTCTTTAAATATTACACATTTCAAATATTCCTTAGTGAAACGCTCTTAATTCTATTACAGTTAGATATTCTTAAAATGGTTAAGAAAATTATCAGTTATATCACTTAGACCTTTTAAACAAGAATCGAACAGCAGTTACCAGCACAATTATGTTTTATGTCTTTTATTCTGGAAAAATAAACAAAAACGTTAAAGAAATGTGCTGTTTTCATTAGTAATTTCATAAATTAGCAAGCAATGGATTCAATAATAAAATTATATCGCACGTTTAATAATATACAGAATAAATTCAAAACTTACGTTTTTGGAGATTTCATCAAACAATTAGTAAGCTTGCTTAGTAAAACAGATTACTAAACTTACCAAAAATGGCAAAGATATGTGTCTTTATATATTTTTTTATGTCAACAATGTGGGCAAGTCTAAAAAACAGGTAACCTTGGTGCTATTTCGCTTTATTTTCACTGTTTGAAACTATATCAAGCTGGTTGCCTTTGGATATAATTCATTAACGTATACTTGAAGCAAGGTACATTGAACAGGTAGTATCAGTAGAGCAGCTGATTAGATTTATTTTCAAATTATTTGGTCTCGAAAATGTCAAATATTTTTAATTTTTTCTCACAAAAATTCTGAATTGTTAAAATCCATTTGCATGTGAAACCTTTTCCCATACAAAACAAGCGATTGAATAGCAGCTTTCGGAACGTTCGCCCAACTCGGCAGCACGACCGCTGATTACTGGGCCTTGCAAAGGATGGATCAATGCTTCGAGAAGCAAACAAATTTACTAGGAAAGAAAGTTGCATCAATTTTTATTTTTTCCAATTTCAATTTTTTATTTTTTATAATTTTTTGTATTTCACATGGCACGCTTTGATTTAGAAGAAAAAATTCAGAACAGTTTTTGACACTTTCGATACCAGAAGCAACAACAAAATACACGCAAATGTTGTTTTTGCTCTACTGATACTACCTGTTTAATGTGCCTTGACTTGAAGCCTAAAAAAAATTTGGATCAATTTGCTGCATAACTTTTGAATTATAGGTGTTTAAATTTAAAAAAATTATGAAAACAAGTGAATTTTTTATGTAATTTTTAGGAGGGGCAAATTAATTATGTCATAACTTTTGAAGCACACCATATTCTGATTTGAAATTTAATGGGCATTTAGCACTTATGTGTATACTTCATATGCATTAAAAAATAACGAAATGGCAAGTTACACAAAGTCTGTAACTCCACAATTTTCAAAATTATCGGTTTATCGCGTATAGTTTTTGAAGCATTTAATTTTAAGAACTTTTTAAGTATGTACTGTATTCTACAAACAATTACGAATAATTTGATATCTTCGCAAGAGGTGTGCTTTCAGAATAAACCAACTTTTAAAGATAAAATATTCTGCGATTTTGAGCGCAATTTTTATTCCAAAAATATATTAATTGAAGGCACACTTGGAAAACACGTCGAAACGATCTAAATATTTTTATAACTGCTAGTCCTTATAACGTTGCATATAACTGTAAAATGCTTAAAAAAAATGTTCTCTAGAAGTGTGTAAAAACCCCGATTTAGTACTTTTAATAAGGTTTAAGGTTCTGATAGTTGCTCTTACTTAATTGGAGCCTTCTAAATTCAACTTTGCTTAAATTTAAACTATTTTATAAAAAACTCCCTCGGTTTTGAAGATATTTTACTAAAATTTTGCACACGCTTGTATTTTAATATTTCCTTCCATATCTCATAAAATCATCGAAATCGGTTCACTCTAAAATCTAGCTCCCATACAACTGATTGTCCAGAGACGTTGTTTTGCGTTATAACTCCTCAAATTAAGCAGGTAAAAATTAGTATAGGTTCACTTTAACATATAGCACGCATACAATTTATTATTCAGATATGAAGTTAGAGTTATAGCGCAAAATCACATATCTGAGTAATCAGTTGCATTGGAGCTATACTTTAAAGTGCACCCATTTCGACAATTTTAAGGAATAATTAAGATAATATAAAAAAACCGTTATGTGCAAAATTTTAGTAAAACTACTTCAAAACTGAGGGAGTTATTTCTAAAATAGTTAAAATATAATCAAATTTTCAAAAACCGTTATCTCGAAAACCGGAAAAAATCTGGTAAAACGGGGGAGGCCATTCAATTTAGAATGTCCCAATTAAGTGAGTTCATCTTTCAAAATCATTGCTCAAAATTTACAACTTGAACAACGTAATTTGAACCCAGCTTATTCTTTTGTTTTCTATTTCATGTTTATTCCTCGTCTAACTCAAAAATTTAAAAATATTTTTTTTTTGTGAGTGTACCTATTTTTAAGATTTGCCCATATGAATTGCGGCGGCCGCTGTGTCTGAATGGTTCACTCCTCTGTGCTACCACTCCGTAGCACCTGGGTTCGATCCCTGGCACAACCAACATCTAAATTAGGAAAGGTTTTTCTAATAGCGGTCGCCACTCGACCAGCAACAGCAAAAGACTGAGTGTATTTCTGCTATGAAACAGCTCTCATAAAATCCATTTGCCGTTCGAAATCGGCGTAAAACTGTGTTTGTGAGTAGCTAAATTAAAATTTTTAAATAAATATCTTTGTTATTAAATGTGCGATATATACATAAATATGTAAGATACATATACATATGTATGTACATATTAGGCTAGGCAGGCTTATATTCCCCATTCGTTCTGCACTTAATTTAATACGAGGATTGAAGTAAGTTTTTTGTTGTCCCATATTTACCTTTAAGATAGCTTAAATTATTTCGCGCGGTGCGCTTAGGAAATGAACCGAGTTCGAAACCTGATGTGTAATCTCTCCCAAAGTCTCTTTATGCACACCTCCAAACAGTATCAATTCACCGTGCCCAGCAACCATTGTTGATAATATTAACCTTTCAGGGGCTCCGGGTATAACACCGTAATTTTTATATTCCACCCACTGTAAATGAGGATCTTCTTTATCCATTGCCGCTGAGAGATCACATACGAATAAGGAAAGAACGTTTCTCTTGATTCGTTTTGGAGAGGGCTCTTTTATTGCTTTAGGTTCACCAATCATTGCGCTACGCCGCGAGTTTCTCAAAGCATTCATCTTTTCTTCCATACGACGTATACGCTCATTGTGATCCTTTGAAACGCTGCGAGGTTTGGTTTGTACGTTAAATGCTGCCATCCTAAAAGGATCCTGAAAATATGATATATGATATACATAATATATCTACATACATATGTGCTCATGTTTTTCTTCCCAATTATACATACATACGTATTTATACATTTTTAAATACTAGGGATGTGTGATTAATTAATTAACCGTACAAGCTGATTAATCGAAGCCTAATTCTTTAAAGAGTAATAATTTTTGATTAATCAGAAACCTGTTATATTTTGTGTTATTTAAAAAAATACAAAAAATATATCCACATATTTTTTTATTTCAAAGAGCTTCATGCTTATGTACATATCGCTGTTTTCTTTTGAAAATTGGGAGGGTCAAACGTAATTTTAGGTATATAGCTTGTTGTTGTTGTTGTTGTTGTAGCGGCTACAACAGGGATCGGTTAGTCCCTCAATCGTTGTCAAGCTCTACTAGCGGTAGCCCCAGGAAGCGTGCAGCCTCGATGGGATCTGCCCGTAGGGACAGGGGCGTCAGTAGGGTGGGGTTCAGTGGGCATGCGAAGAGATGCTGTGAGTCATGGAGCGTTCTCCGCTTGCCGGGCATTCGTTTTGAACATCTTCGTTAATTCTGCTCAGGGATGAGTTCAACCTGCTGCAGTAACCAGAGCGCAGTTGGGCTATTGTGGTCCGAGTCTCCCGAGGCAGACGAAGTTCTGTCTCGTCCACGTCTGGTGGTTGGGTGCTCAGAACGGCATTCACAGGTCGGGAGTCTACATAATTCGAGACTACCTCTCTGTGAATGCCGTTCAAGGCCTGTCGATAGGCTGTCGGGTCCAAAGGTTGTTTGATGAACCTCCGGACTTCGTCCCTCAGTTCGTACAGTTCGTTCGCCATTTTTGCTTAAAATTAATCGCAGAATTTGAATTTGCTAAACACCTCGAAAATTTTGCTACGAACCACTCCGCCCTAATTTATGGAGGCAATTTTTTGTTATGCTACAAAGCAAGACTTCCCCTAGCAATGTTCCTTTGGTGGGGGGCCCCCAAACCCGCCCTCCCCCACTAGAAAGGGGACAGTCTCCACTTTCTAAAAAGGCGTACCCCCCTTGAGCTCCTCCCTCAGGCCCCTAGGAAACCGTTTGAAAAAGGGGGAAACACGGAATTTTCTTAGGCAAACTGGGCAGTTTGAAGTGGACCCAACTAACAGAAACCGTGGGATTTTTTAATAAAAGAAATTATGCCAAATTAGATATCGGGCAATAAAGAAGAAAAAGTTAATTAAAAATCGAAAAAACAAGTTTTTATAAAAAAAAATAAAATCTTTTTAACAAATGTATTTTTGCGTAGAATTCCTTTCTGCGTAGGCGCACTTAGGGATTATAACCCTCACAAAGTAGAATTCCCTTTCTGTTTTGCGAAGAAAAGGAGCTGAACTCCTTTTGCAGAGAACACCTTTCTTCGTAGGCGGCCTTCGGCCGCACTTAGGGATTATAACCCTCACAAAGTAGAATTCACTTTCTGTTTTGCGAAGAAAAGGAGCTCAACAGNGAATTTGCTAAACACCTCGAAAATTTTGCTACGAACCACTCCGCCCTAATTTATGGAGGCAATTTTTTGTTATGCTACAAAGCAAGACTTCCCCTAGCAATGTTCCTTTGGTGGGGGGCCCCCAAACCCGCCCTCCCCCACTAGAAAGGGGACAGTCTCCACTTTCTAAAAAGGCGTACCCCCCTTGAGCTCCTCCCTCAGGCCCCTAGGAAACCGTTTGAAAAAGGGGGAAACACGGAATTTTCTTAGGCAAACTGGGCAGTTTGAAGTGGACCCAACTAACAGAAACCGTGGGATTTTTTAATAAAAGAAATTATGCCAAATTAGATATCGGGCAATAAAGAATAAAAAGTTAATTAAAAATCGAAAAAACAAGTTTTTATAAAANATTTTTTAATAAAAGAAATTATGCCAAATTAGATATCGGGCAATAAAGAAGAAAAAGTTAATTAAAAATCGAAAAAACAAGTTTTTATAAAAAAAAATAAAATCTTTTTAACAAATGTATTTTTGCGTAGAATTCCTTTCTGCGTAGGCGCACTTAGGGATTATAACCCTCACAAAGTAGAATTCACTTTCTGTTTTGCGAAGAAAAGGAGCTCAACAGCTTTTGCAGAGAAAACCTTTCTGCGTAGGCGGCCTTCGGCCGCACTTAGGAATTATAACCCTCACAAAATAGAATCCTTTTTCTGTTTTGCGAAGAAAAGAAGCTGGACACCTTTTGCAGAGAACACCTTTGTATATTTTTAATGCTTACTGGGTTATATCCTATCTCCTTTTGTCTCTCATTCTTTTGCATATTTTGGAGTTTGACAGCTGAACTCCGCCATTTAATTTGCATATGCAACCGACGTCAGACGTAATTTTGAAGGTGTTTTTATTTAATGAATTGTGATTAATTGGTTAATATTAAAGTCGTAAAGAAAGGTATAACTAATCGAGTAAAGTGTAAAGTGAAGGGGAATACAAAAATATATTGGTGAAGTGGCTGCTTTAAGGAGAATAGGAGTGATAAATGTACGCTAATTTCCGAATTTTACAAAAAAGGGCATATTTCTAACCCAATTTGTAAATAAATTAGTGACCAAAAATTACAAAAGCGGGTGTTAAAATAATGTGTAGACCCTTGACTACAAGTGTGTGGAATTTTTTTTTTGGATCGAGCCACCCCTTTGGACGGAATAGCCCGAAATAGTTGGGGGCGCTACTAAACCCAACCATATATGTAACACTCCTATATTGGCAGTAAGAGCTAGTACCGTCCGAAAACACTACAGTACAGATATATCAATAAACACGTACGAAAGAAAAGGAACACATACGTTTATAAATAAACATGTACACGACACATTTACAAAAACGGCACTCAAGTACACAATACATTGACAAAAACAGTACTAGACTGTCTCGCTTTGATTTCGGAATGCTTACACATTGAGATGTTAGCTTACTACCAATATAGAAGTATTACATATATGACCCCACCCAAATAATTAGCTCAGTTTATTTATTTCAAATTTTGTACAATTGTGCTAATAACATATTTTGTTGTGAAACATTAGGTGCGTTCGACAAGTCAAAAATTTGTAAAAGTTTTACCAAATTTTTACTGGCTGGCGTTCGATAACGACAAAAAATTATCCAACACACAAAAATTGAGAGAGCAAGCGTTCATTTTGATGCNTGTAAACAAACAAAATTGCATTTTCCGAGTTTTGGTATTTATATGCTTTTTGGCTGCCTGCTATGTGACTTTATGATAGCGCCAACTAGTTTTTACTTCTAGAAATGTTCCTGGCGAACATTGAACGTTCACTTTCCTTTTTTCTTCTATGGAGGCAACATGAATTTTAGTTTGTTTACAAATAAAACATAAACAAAGTCAGCTGGTGTGTCTTCTTCTTCCGGTTTTTGCAAGTAATGGCTAATTTCCTGTTCGTTTACTTTTTTGCTTTTTCTTCTTTTTGGGAGAGAATTTTCGCTTACTCTCTTGATTTTGATTGCTGGCTGGTGTTGGCTAATTTTGTTATCGAACGCAACTATTATCTCAGAAATCCTATGCAAATCGATGTATTGATGTATGCCCATATATGTAATACTTCTATATTGCTAGTACATTCAAAGTACATTCCCCAACATCAGAGTGCCGAAATATTGAAAAAAGAAAGAGAGATCCGATAAGAGAATGTACTCAAAATGACAATTTTACTTTTGAAAATTCAGGAGCGGCTTCAAAAATTCTTAGTTAAAAACAATTCATTTGAAAAATTAACAAAAAATACAATTTTTGTAAATCTATGAGAAACGCTGTACGCCGTTGGTGGTGGCAGAGGATAAAAAGACCAGTTGGAGAAGGACTTAGCATCAGCTGGCATTTCCAATTGGCGTCAATTAGCATAGAATGGAATCGAATAGCGTGCTTTATTGAATTCGGACAACATATAAAATACTACACTNTGAAAAATTAACAAAAAATACAATTTTTGTAAATCTATGAGAAACGCTGTACGCCGTTGGTGGTGGCAGAGGATAAAAAGACCAGTTGGAGAAGGACTTAGCATCAGCTGGCATTTCCAATTGGCGTCAATTAGCATAGAATGGAATCGAATAGCGTGCTTTATTGAATTCGGACAACATATAAAATACTACACTGCTTTATGTGTAAATAAGTTTTGTCTTGGTTAGGAAAAGATCTTCTATCTTCCAATTTTTCGGATTTCCAAATAACGAAGATCATCGGAGAAAGTCGACATATCGAGCCCTAACTGGTAAAGTAATGTATATATTTTATTTTTTAATTACTTTTTGATGCGGGTGATCTAAGAGCATTTATGAATCAAAATTAAATTTTGAAAAAAGTTCGCTTACTTTATTTTCGCGTCCAGGGCTCGATATACATTGCAGCTGAAGTAAACATGAGACTCTCAAATTTGTGTTTGTTTTTTGAATTCCCTGAACCACTCCTGTTATGATATGGCACTTCATTCTGGCTGCGTTTCTTTATACATTCCGGATAATCTCATTTCACAGCCGGAAAAAACAGAATGTGTTNGAAGTAAACATGAGACTCTCAAATTTGTGTTTGTTTTTTGAATTCCCTGAACCACTCCTGTTATGATATGGCACTTCNGACGGATAAATTATTTTATTTGTTATTCGAATAATTATTATCTTCATTAATTATTCGAATAACGAATAAAATAATAATAAAACAAGTAATTTATGTATATAGATATGTACAAATATTTATGTATAAAATGATAACCGTTCTCGTTGTTGCGATTTAACTCAAACCCCTAGATAGATTTAAGTCAAATTTTCGGAGGTTATTCCATGCGCATAAAGTCCTATTAAAGGCTACTAGAAAACTCCTTGGTGGCGATGGAGCCGAGTTATTTATAAAAGCCGTATTTATGAACCGATTTCGTTCAAATTCAAAATGTGTTCTTCCTGCAGGATGAAAAATACTTATGCGAAAAATAGACCCGCTAGGGGGCGCTGCAGTTGGGTTATTTCGAAA